TGAGCCCCCACTTGCAAACAGAAGGGTTGCAGGTTCGAGTCCCAGTTAGGGCACATGCCAGTAGGGGGCATGCGAGGGGGAACCACATAGTGATGTTTCTCTCCCTCTCTTTCTCCCTCCCTTCCCTGCTCTCTAAAAATAAATAAATAAAATTCTTTTTAAAAAAAAGATAAAAAAGGATCTAGGGTTGGGGGGGCTGTTGAAATAGGGGCTCAGGAGCCCCTCTGGCCATGGGACCATGTAGCATGGAGAAAGACAGCCCCTTTAGAAGCCTCTGTGAACTGAGTCCCTGGTGGCTGTCATGAAAGGGTTATCCCCACGCATTCGATATTTGCAAAAATGTGGGTTCTTTCAGATTCCAAAACTCATTTCCATGACAAAACTCTTGGGAAGAGAAGATGAAGGCCCGGCTTTTGCAGAACAATCTTCCAGCTGTAATGAGGACTGAAGATGGCGATGGGAAAAGGAATTATAATTAGAATATGAAATGGGGAAAATTAATCTATTCCAGTCAGTCGTAAGAGGATGTTCTAGCATTTCATGGAAATTCTCAGGCCGTTGTTTCCCCCTACATTTTTCTTTTCACATTTTAAAGCCCACGGAAGGTTGTGTGGTGTGAAAAAAGATTTTTTGACTGAGGGACTGATGAGTTGTGAACTATGCACAGAATTTAAGTTCATGAGTATCTTTTGCTTTGTGTGTCTCTATATGCTCTTGCCGTATACATTTGTGTGCGCATTGATGTGAGTTACATCTATACAGTTGCAGATGGTGTATTGAGACACACCTGGGTCTCCCCTCTTTTCCACGTGTGCATGCTGTGTATTGTGTACCCAGACCCGTAAAGGGGCTATGAAACGTGCACACTCATGCTTGTGCTGTGGACACACTTGTTTGTGTTGGTTTGTGCAACCGATGGATGTGGTATGTGCGTGACTGAATGCTGTCTTGAATGCTGTGTTGTGTGTGACACGGGCCGCCACTGGTTTGTGGTGCCTATGCGGTCACCATGCTTAGCGACATTGCATGTGTCACATGTCTTTGTGGTCACACACACACACTAAGCCCTCACTGTGCGGAGGGTATAGATGTAGGTGTTTCAATCTTGTCTGTGCACAGGGAGAAGGAGGTGGCCCTGCTGTGGTGGAGCAGAGAGGCTGACTTAGTGACCTCTCCCCTTGGTTTGTAAGTTCTTTCCTCCAGAAAGGGCCCTTTGAGAGGAGGGCTGAGGGGGAAGCCCCAGGCCTTAGTGCCCTGGAGCTAACCCAGGGGACGCCTGGGAGCCCTCAGGGTCCGCCTCTCTCCCTCCTTCCTTCCCTGCTCCAAGGGCTCTGATGCAGTGGAACCCTCCCCGGAGGCGGACAGAGAACAGATGCCCCACCGCCTCAGGGGCTCAGTTCACGGGCTGCGCAGTAGCCAGGCCCCAGCCCAGCGTGCTCCCAGGGCCCATGCCAGGCCCCCGGCGGTAACAAAACAGAGCCCAGGCCCTGCCTTGAGAACTGCCACCAACTTCTCAGGTCCTCCTTGAAAGCAGGAGGCAAGCTTTACTCCTGCACGGGGCAGCTCTCTCTCGGGTGCATAGATGACTGAGTGAATAAGACCCCTGGAGTCAGGCTCTGGTGACGTCAGGGGGACCCCCTTCCTACCCCCAGCACACACACATGTCAAAATGCAGGGTCTCTTCCTCACCTCCCCAGTGCCATTCCCCACTGCTCACGCGGGTAAGTCCTCCCTCCCCGGGCCACTAACACATACTCATCAAGCACCTACTACGTGCCAGGGCTGAGCTAACTAATTGGCTATACAGTGTGGGGTGCAGCAAAGCCCCGATCCCTGCTGTCACGGAGCTTACAGCCAGGAGACCAAGCCGAAGTGGCAGGCGGACCCCTCGGAAGCCCAGCCTTTCCCTGGCTGTGCCACCTGGGGCGACTCCTGGTCCTCTCAACCGGCGTCCTCGGTGTTCAGCAGGGAAAATAACACCTGCTTCTTTAGGTTGTGGTGAGGTTTAAATGAGCTCTTTTACTTACAGAAAGTATTTTCAGCTCTGGGTATAGTCATGCATCCGCCAGGTATTTGTTGAGCGCGTGCAGTGTATGTTGGGGGGCAAGCACACAGTGCCCCTCCTTTCATGGTGGCCCCGTTCCCGCCAGCACTGGATAAATAGGCTACGGCACAGACCTTTGGGGAACATCGTTCCCTTTTCTCCTTTGATAGAGGAATGCTCCCATATTTTTAACCCACTTCATACTGTTTGACTACTATTGCTTTATCAAATGTTTCAAACACCTGGTTAAACTTTGTCCCCCTCCGTTTCAATCGTTCTTTCTTTTTGAACATACATATTACGTGTGGGGGTTTTTTCCTAAGTTTCACTTTTATCAAAGTAACCCATGGCCATGGTGACATGTCAAGTAGTACCCAGGAGCATTTGTTGAAAGCTCCCCACCCTGCCCATTTCATCGTCCCGTTCCTGGTGCCAGCCTGTGTCAGGCGCGGGGGGACTTGGAAATGGCCAGGACACTGTTCCAGCCTCTATGTCGCTCCCACACAGGGGCAGAAGACAGATGTGGAGACAATCTATGTTGTAAGCCAGAGGTGACAGCATGGCAGGCCTCCTGGAGGAGGTGGTCTCTGAACAAGGCCTTGTGTGCCATGTGGTGGATGGAGATTCGCCTTTGGGGGTCAGTGCCCAGATCCTAGGCATGATATAACCTTTTCTTTTGCTGATGCAGCAGTCACTCAAGGATTCTGCCTGTCCCTGTGCTGGGAGGGCACTTGGATGTAACCACTAATTCTACTGCCTCTGATGGGGAGACTTGAAAAGCCTTGGTAAAGACCGTGTAAATAGTGCAGGGGTGGCTCCATCCACCCACCCACCCGCCCATCCAGGAGCATTTATCAAGTATCTGGTCTGTGCCAGGTACTATTTGAAGTGCTTGGAAGCCTATATGTTAGTGGGGGGCATCCAACGATAACCCATGAAGTTGGTAAATCATATAGATGCTAGAAGGTAAATGGGACTGTGGAGCAAAGAACAAGGAACAGCAGGGTGGCCAGGGACCTGGGAATGGTGGTGGCGGTGATGGGCTCCCAGGGCCCCCAGAGGTGGAGGCCGGCATCCGGGGCGGTTTGGAGGAGAGCTCGTCTGAGGCAAGTGGATCTGGATGAACATACATCTTGTGTCTGATGGAGGGAGAGCAGACTTTTACAGCCTCCATGAGAGCGGCTGGGCGATGTCTATCCAAGTTACTAATGCACACACAGCTGGACCCCGCGATTTCACAGGCTAACCCTACAGCCAGCTCACAGCCCTGTGAAATGATGGACAGACAGAACTGTTCACGGGAGCAATGCTGGGATAGCAAAAGGCTAGAAACGACTCAATGGTCCATGTGCTTAACTAGTTCCTTATACATGTTACGTCCATCTTGTGGAATACTAGGTACCAGAAGACAGAATTACATTCTGATATAAAAAGCTTTCCCAGATGTGTTGCTAGAAGAAAAATAAGGTGCAAAACAATGTGTATAACATGCTGTCATTTATGTGAAAGAAATGACTATAAAATGTATGTATGCAGACCATCTCTGAAAGGATATAAAGGAAGCTGGCAGACGCAGCAATTGCCCTGGGAGAGAGGCAGTGGATGGCTGGGAGGTGGGGTGGGAAGAGGTTTTTCACTCTGTTGCTTTCTGTACTTTGGGAATTTTGAACCCTGTACATATAACCTAAAAAATAAAATGAAATTTTCAATTAAAATGGCCAGCTGCCGTTGGTGCCCCACCCAGATCCCTTTACCAGCTACCAGCACAGCCTCCTCCCATCTGCCGGGAGCGCTGGCTGCAAGCGGCACACAGCTGGCCCGAGTCTCCGGGGAGCAGTCCTTGGTCCAATGGGGGCTGCCCTGCCCCGGAGGGTATGCCTCTCCCGTCTCTTGAGGGCAGCCCGCGGCCAAACAACAGACCGGCCCCGCTTCACGGCTTCACTCTGGGCTGAACTCTATGGTGCAATTCACGCCCGGAGCTCCCCATGGGACCAGGCTGCGACCAGTCTCCAGCAGAGACCACGTCCTTGCTTAGCTCCTTCCGCTGTCTTGTCCTGTGCCCCTCCCTCCCTGTCAGGTCATTGCGGAAGGACACTTCTCAGAGACCACACGCATTTGAATTCTTGACTCAGCTCTGCTTCTAGGGAACGTGATCCCAGTTGCCTGTCCTAAGGGAAGGGAACTACCTGGAGTTGAGCCAAGTGCTCTACTTGTGTCAGCGCAGCGTCTTGTGGAGAGGGGGCTCTGTCATTTTCTCCATCTGACCAATGAGGAACCTCAGAAGTCCCGTCTCCAGCTCAAGAGCACACGTCCGGGAACAGGACAGCCGCTGGCGCCCACACTTCTCCCACTACGCCTGCTCCCTGTTACACAGAAATCTTTCTGAGTCCAGACTTGGCAGCGCCTCGGAACGCAGGGCTGTAGCTCCTGTACGTGGTTCCCCCCACAGTCTTCACTGCCTGCGACCAGGGGCCGTCTGAGGGGCAAATGTGAGGGACAAAGCCGCTTAGGGTGGTGAGCCCTGGAGGGCACACCTGGGGCGGGCTGTCCTGACCCCAAAGTTCTAGAGATCTCAGCTGCCCTCCATCATGTGGAATCCCAGCTCTAGCTGACAGCCTGATGTCCTTTTGTCCAAGAGAGATATTTGCATACTTCCGGCAATGGGGAGCTCAGTATCTGACAAGGCAGGCCACCACAGCTATGGACAAGGTATACAGGGCAGAAGGGTTTTCCCCGCTTCATCCTAAGTGTGGTGGAGGACACTGACCCTCAGGGAGCCAGGCTGCTCCCCAACCCCGGAGGGAGCCCCACAGAAATGGGGACTTGGGCCTCCTGGGCTCCATCTTTGCTTCTCCTTTCCCCTCAGGGCACTCAGTGCCCTGACCCCCTCTGGCTTCTTCTCCTGGGCCTTCTTGAGCACATTTTATTCAGAGCTGCTTCTCTCTCTCTGTTCCAGTTTGATGGTGACAGTGCCTACGTGGGGATGAGTGACGGAAACCCAGAGCTCCTATCAACCAGCCAGGTGGGTGCCCCGTCCTTTCTGAGCATGTGTGGGAGGCCTAGCCTTGGGTTGGCTGCAGCCAGGCTCATTCCAGGGTGGGGGCGTGAGGGGTGCAGAGTTGTGGACACAGCCCACCCCTGTCCTCTTTCAGAATGATCGAGGATATCCGTTGAATTCCCTTAAAAGGGACACTCAATCTAGGACTACGTTGTTTTCTGTAAATCACCTACCTGGCTGCTGGTGCCTTAAAAGGGAATCATTACAAACTTGATACACTCAAACTGTGTTGTCCACATTCCCTGTGCACAGAGGGGAAGCTTTCAGCAGCAGGGAAGAGAGACATCCCATGCTCCCTGGTGCTGCCGGCCTCTTGCTACCACACAGTGCCCATGGGGATGGACACTGGTGTGGAGGCACGCACATCCGTGCAAGGCATGCAGGGCTCTGCTGCTGATACCCTGGGGAGGGTTGTGGACATGGCAGTGCTCCCCACTGGAGAAGGGGGCGAGTCATCTCGGGGCACGGCTGCCCCAGCCCCGGCCCCGGCCCCAGCCTGGACCTCTGGAACTCCCAGAGGTCAGCTGGAATCTGATTTTCCTCCGAGAGCCTGATCTCTAAAAATTAAGGTTTCTTCCGGCTGGGAGCATCCTCATTATACACTCTAATGCCAGAAAGGGTCCTCAGTGCTGGCCGGGACGCTGGGCAGGGTCCTCACTTCAGGCTGGGATGCCAGGCAAGGCCCTCACCGCAGGCTGTGGCAACCTGAGGATGGCTCCCGGAGGCGGTGGTGCCTGCAGGGAGGCAGCAGCTCAGGGTGCTGGATGGAAAGCCAAGGAGCTTCGTAGCGACTGAGAAACTCCAGGAGCTGGAGGGCAAGCCTGTCCCTGGAGCTGACCTCCACGCTCTGCCTATGCAGCCATGCTGGCTGTGGCGATCTAGGTTGGGTGGGTGGGATCATAGCCAATACTTCCCAGCTGGAGTAACAGAAGCCTATTGATTCACAAACATTTGCGTGTCCTACTACGTGGCAGGTCCTGTGAGGGACGTAGATGAGTAAGACAGGGCCTGTGGCCCCTAGAGAGAACTGCCAGTGCGGGAAGACACTGTAGTCTCGGCAGGTGTGCAGCTACATGCAGGGCGTGCCACACGCCCACCTGCCACTGCAGGGGGCTCGTGCGGGGCCACCATGTCATGCCCTCCTCTTGCCTGTGACCGTGTGAGCATCATCATGCTGCTGCAAAGCTGTCTTTATATTGCATCGACCTGTGCCAATCTGCAAGACGCTGGTGGGCAGGACTCCAGGTCCTAGAAATGCTGCTCATGTTGGAAGAGACCTCCAAAGTTATTCTGTTGTCCCTAATCAGCCCTGACTCACAGAACCGCCCGTTGGGGGAGTCGGCTCTGGCTCAGACCCTGACGGGGAGAGTGTTGGCACTGCGCTTCCACCAAGAAGGGACTCTGCGTCTGCTCTAGGCTTGGGCAGAGGGGGTGCAGGGCAAATAAAGTCCCCCCCACTTCAAGCTGTTAACAGTAACAAGCTGACCTGTTCACCCCACACTTGTCAGTTTGCAAAGTCATTTTCTCAGTGGTTATTTCAGCTGATCTTCACAACAGTCACGAAGCGTAGTAGACGTTATTGTTAACCCTATTTTATAGATGAGGTGACTGAGGCTTGAGGATGTTAACTGATTCCTCCAGGGAGCAGTGCAGCTGAACTTTGAACCTGCACAGCAGCGACTCAGGGCTGCACACATTACCTTGCTGTGCGTGTGGAGAGCTCCCGTCTCATCTCAAGGCTGCCACCAACTTGTTTGAGTCTAAGTGTCATTCCTCAGAGATCCAAGATCCAATTTAGTTCCCCTCCCCGTGATTCTTACTCACGGTACCGTGTCCTTTCAATTCATGACATTTTTACTGTTTATGGTTATCTGCTTACTTGTGTAATGACCTGGTTAACGTCTGATTTCCACTCCAGACTGCGACGACCATGCCTGCAGGATCTGGTCTCTCTTTTTCACTGTTACGTCTCCCCTTTTAGCACAAAGCCTGGCGTGTAGAAGCCACTCAAGAAATATTTGTGTAATGAGTGAATGTAGCTCCTTCTCTACCTTCAGTTTTCCTAACAGTGAAATGAGGTGGTTGGACTCACAAGGGTCTTTCCAAGTCTCTTGTGCCATCACTCAGAGACTCTTCCTAATTTAGAACTTTATAAAAAAGACATCAAGATTCCCTGAGATTGGCTAAGTCCACCTGGGAGCATGAGCCAACCTTGATGTGAACAAATTTAGTGATTACAATCTAGACTTCTTATAGTATATCGGTTAGCTTTTGCTGCATACCAAGCACCCCCAAACTTAGTTTCCTAAAACAATGAAATATTCATCTATTTCATATTTCCATGGGTTGGAAGTTTGGTTGGCTTCAGCCAGGTGGCTCTTCTGATCATGGCTATGATCATTTAAGTAATAGCAGAAAGCTGCTAACTCAGCTGTAGGCTGATTAGTATAGGGGGCTCACTTCTACTCCAGATGGTGTTTTGTCCTTCAGCAGGCGGGCCTGAGATGGTTCACGCACTGGGAGAAAGGTTCCCAGAGCAGCAAGAGCAGAAGCTGCAAGATCTCTTGGTGAAAGCAAGTCACAGGGCCAGTCTAGATTCAAGGAATGGAGAAATAGACCTCCCCTGTTAATGGGACAGGCTGTAAAGTATTGTGGGCTTTCAACAAACTGGCACACATGGGAATCGTGTTGTTCGTGCCAATTTTCTTAAGAATAACACACTCCTCTGGGACCTGCAGCTCCCAGTGGCTTGGTTGGGCTCCACTGGCCTCTAGGTCTTAATGGCAAAAATTCTGTATGTTTCCTTCCAGTCTTTTCCCTGGGGCGTTTGCTTGAGCTCACACACGCACATTTGCACACAAACACCCTATCACAGGGTGTTGCCTCATCAACTGCAGGAAGCCTATTGTCCCAGTTACTGAAGGACTGACATAAGCATAAGTGGGCAAAACGAAGGTCTCGTAGCCAATAGAGGGTTCAGGGGACAAACTCTCTAAATGGCATTAAATGCAGTTTATAAATACAGTTAAATACAAGGTTTACCCATTCAGCAAATGTTTATTGGGCACCTATTATGCACAAAGGCCTGGATGTAAACTGGGAGCCATTTCTGGGAGATGTTTCAAAACATCCATTTTCATCATGTTGAAAACCTGCTTTTCCTGAAACTTCATCTTCTTTGTTTAGAAACTGCAGCTGAGACAGAGGTTCCCTACAGGATATGTATCAGCCAAGTGTGTCCCCTTTTAAAAGCTTTCAAACCAGCCCTTTGGGGCTTGAAGTTTCTTTTGCAAATGCACGCTCCATTGTTTGGTTTTTGCAAGTCTCCACAAAATTCCTGCATAGGTGCCTTAGCTTTCAGGCATGATCACTTCCCCCACCCTCACCCTAGACCTTGCATTTCTTTTGTACTAAACTTGCCTAGGTGGTCTGAGACTCAATGCAGTTCTCAGGTGTGGCTTCTGGCCTATCAGCATCTTCTGCGGGTGGAAAGCCTGGTAGGGATCAGCCCTTCCCCTGCTGGGAGCACACCCTGCTCAGGAATTACAGGGGTCAATATTTCCTGGTTATGGGGCTTGGGAAGAGCCTCCCTCATCCTGGCAGGAAGGTAAAGAGGAAAGGAACTGGGCTGGAAGCTCAGCAGCCCTGGGTTCAAAGCCCAGCTCTTCCACATCTCCTGCCAGGAGCCCCTAGGTCGGTTAGGGCAGCTTCCTGCCCTGTGGGGAGAGTAACGCCTGCCCCTGAGGGTGTTGTGAGGGGAACAGGCGTTGTGGGTCCTGTTGGTGCCTCCCCCATTTTCCCTTCACCTCCAGGGCAGCTATTCACAGCCAGCTGCCCCTTCGCTGCCCTTTTTCCGGAGAACCGGCCTCTGCCAAATGGGCCCTGTGAACCGGGAGGGGGTGTGGGCGGTCTGGAAAGCCAGACCTGTGTGTCATGGGAGACCAAGGCTAGCTCTCCCCAGAACTCCAGCCGAGACCACGCCCTCACTCGGCTCCTTCCCCTGCCCTGTGATGCTTCCCTCCCTTCCCTTCTCCTGAGTCACTTCTCAGTAAGTCACGGTCATTGCAGTTTCCACCTCAGGCTCCTCTGCAAGGGAATTTGACCCAAGATAGGATGTAAAGTACCCATGTTCCATAAAACGTGCTATGGCTTATTTCTATTGTTTCTTATTTGTAACTTGATGTGCTATTTTTTAAAAAGTACGTGAAAAGTGATTTTATTTATTTTTAAATTTTTAAATTACAGTTTACATTCAATATTATTTTGCATTAGTGTTAGGTGGACAGCATAGTGGTTAGACAATCGTATGCTTTACGGAGTGCTCCCTCTGATATTTCCTGTCCCCACCTGGCACCATACATAGTTGTTACACTGTGATTGACTGTTTCCTAGGTTGCACTTTATTATTTCTATTGTTTTTATTATCATAAATAAGGCTTTGGCTGCACAAGACAAATCTCCGGTCACCTCTTGTGCTCATCTCCAACTCCAGGCCATTGTGTGCACACTTCCCTCTGATAGGAAGCCCCCAGCCATTTTGACCCAACACAGGCCTGTTTGTTCTTTCAGGAATATCGCAAATGTCCCCTCCTCGGCACAGCCTTCCTGGCTGTGGGTAGAGTTTCCCACTCTTCATGGCTGTAAATACTACTTCAGCTAGGGATTTCTGACTTTGTCCTAAGAGTTATTGGAAGAACCGTGTGTGTGTGTGTGTGTGTGTGTGTGTGTGTGTGTGTTGAGAGAGAAAGAGACAGAGAGAAAACTGGAGCACGACTATTTCTAGCAATTCAGTTATTCAAAGCAAGTCACTGGGCTTTGTTAGTGAGAAGGAGAAAAGAGAGAGATTGATACTGAATAACATGATCAAATTTGTGGTTTTAAAAGCTCGCATGGTGAGGGCAGATACAGGGAGACCACAGAGGAGGATGTGCAATAGGGCCCAGTGAAAGGGTGATGTGTCCTCG